AGCTTGTCCAGGTCCCTCTGGATGGCATCCCGTCCCTCTGGATGGCATCCCATCCCTCTGGCATGTCGACCGCACCACTCAGCTTGGTGTCATCTGCAAATTTGCTGAGGGTGCACTCGATGCCACTGTCTATGTCATTGATGAAGATATTAAACAGTGCTGGTCCCAATCTAGACTCCTGTGGGACGCCCCTTGTCACCAATCTCCATCTGAACATTTAGCCGTTGACCACTACCCTCTGTATGTGACCTTCTAACCAATTCCTCACCCACCGGACAGTCCACCCATCAAATCCATACCTCTCCAGTTTAGAGAGAAGGATGTTGTGGGGGACCGTGTGAAAGGCCTTACAGTGGTCCAGATAGACAACATCTGTAGCCCTTTTTACATGTATAAACTATGGCTGTAACAGGTAAGATGTCTACGAGCCAGTTAAAGTAGGAGCACAATGAATTTTTTGTTTAATGTTTTAAAGCAGATGGCAAATAAATTCTTACAGACTTTCTGGCTTTTAGGCATTAAATTGGCAGCATCAGACCAGTTTTTAACTGCAGGACTGACCTCGCGGTCTATTTCTAATGTGAGTTCATATTTTATGCCTTAAATAGTGTCCTTATCTCCCTAGGATGCATCAGGATCCTGCCTGTTACAGAAAAGGAAGTGGAGGCTGAAGGTCCTCATAGTTGAAGAAATAGGAAAATTTAAAGCTGTATGCCGTAAGCCCGGTTTTGAAGATTCAGGAAGTAGGTATTAGAAGCAGTTTTCAAGCTGCGGTGTCTGAGGCTGGTTCCCTAAATTTGTTATGGCTCTGTCTAGCTAAGCAGCTAAATGATGAGTTAAGTGTGTAAATCCCTGTTGAGTTGCCTATATTTAATTATTAGAAGTATCAACTGTGGACATCTAAGTCTGTACTGAAGAACCAATCTATCAAGATCAAATCCTAAAAGGGGTTGAGGACCTGCTTAACACTTGCAAGTCTTATTAGCTTCATGGTTAATATCCCAGCATTTGATTTGTAAAAACTACTGTTTGGACAAATATTGTGGCTACTCATTCTGATGCTGCAACAAACCAGCTCAGAGCTTGTGTCTGAAAATCAGAACCTTTTTGCATTTCTTGGAATTACTTCATTTGTGATTTATTTGACTTGATTTTCTCCATAAGGAAAGCTAAACTTCCAGTGCTACACTTAAGGGTAAAGGTGGCTATCAAAATATCTAACCCCTTAGAGCAGCTGGGGTTTTTTGGGGAGCACTGCCCTTTCACCTCCTGGTATAAGGACATTGTGAAATACAACTGCAATACTCAGTGGCAGCATCCAGCAGCCCTGTTCTGCTGGTTGGGAAGTCATACTGGGTGTTTGGTTTTCCTAGGTGTTAAAAGGAGGCGACTGTACAGAAAAGTGATTAATGTGGACAAATACTTCAGGGTAGTCTTATTAACAGTTACCACTCCATAATCTTAGGTTAATGTGATGGTGGGTCTCCAAAATTGTTACCTATGCTGTAGTTATTAGAAACTCCAAATGGAGATGTTACAGTTCTTATTCGGTAGGGGATTGCCATGCTAAATGATGATTCCAGAAAAAAATAATGAAGATTAAATCCTGAGTGCAGTGAGGAAGTGTGAGAAAAAGCTGAAATCTGGTGGGCTTGGCAAGGTCCTAAACTTGTATAAGTTGGAACAGACCCTTAAGAGAGCTTCTGATGAAAATGGCTTACTGCCCCATTTCCCCTTTTTTGT